CGTCAAGTGTGGCGGCGGTAGTGAGCTTGGCCCAGGATCGGACATTGTTTTGTTCTGCTGTGCATGGGGTCGCTATGAGTCGGTTCCGACTCGATGGCAACTGACAACAATGCTACCAGAGCTCTGGTAGCATAGCCTATATGGATAATTCTTAAAAGAGGACGACATTGCTAAAAGCAGACATTCCTTACTACTTAGGCTAAACTGTTGTTTGGTTTTAGGGGATTATATTTAGTTTAAGGTGTAAAGATTATCTCAGGGCAATAATTTCTGGGGTTCATCCAACCACCATGACTCCAAGAAGTCTGCATTCCATGAGAATTAGAAAATATTGTTCTATATTTCCCCCCTTTTGAGCACATTTCTTATATAAACAATTTTTGAAAACTTTGTTTTGAAATAATTACAGACCAATAGAGCTGTATTTGTGTGGCATTGTAGTATAAACACTGGACTGGTAATTACAAGGTTGGCAGTTCAAGCATACCAGCTGCTTTTGGAAACCCTATTCAGGATTGCTATGAGTTGGAACTGACTCAATAATACACAGCAACAAACACAAGCCAATAAGAAATTACAAAAATAGCACAGCAATATCCTGTGTTCCTTTTATGTAGCTTCTCTGTAGTAAAGTACTTTATAGGACATATTTCATTAAAGTTGGTAAAGGATTAGAGAGATTTAATGCAGAGATTTGATCAGTAGAATTATGGTTCTTTTTTTTTTTTAATGTTTTATTGTGAATTATCTGATAGTTTACATGGGAGAACATTGGTTTTTCATTCAGAATTATGGTTCTTTTAACTTTAGCATTTGTTAATGTTGTCGCATTAACAGTGTAATTGTAAATCTCAAGCTGATATTCAGATAAAGATGCATTTTCATAGGTAGAAGTTCTAAGGATAGAAAATATTAACTCAGTGTGGTGGGTAGAGAAGGGGCAGTGAAAATATAAATCATTTAAAATTTATATCTAAGCATGTCATTCTATCCCCCAAAGATTTCACTATGAATATTTCCTGAAAACTTAAAAGAATTGTACACTAATCATTCATATACATACATGCCTCAGAGATACTGCAGGTTCAGTTCCAGACTGCTGCAATAAAGGGAATATTGCAATAGAGCAAGCCACATGAATATTTTGGTTTTCCAGTGCAATTTTTTATCTACATTTTGTTGTTATTGTTGTTTGTATGATAGTTGAATCGGTTCAGACTCATGGTGACCCTGTATAGGTAGGGTCTGCACTGCTGATATAGCAGTAAGCAGTCCAGTGTTTATTCTACAGTGCCACACCAGAACTCCTTTCTTGTATGGAGTTTGTTAAATGTGCATTATGAAAAAATGTGAAATCGCTTGAGAATTATAAAAATGTGACAGAATAGTAAACATATGACTGTTAGAAAAATGACACTGGTAGACTTGCTCAAAAGCACAGTATCTGCAAAATCCATTAAAACAAAGCACAGTAAAATATGGTATGCCACACCTAATCCTACAATAAACATTTTACTGTGTTTTTATTATCACTTACCTTTCCATCTTACCATTTTTGTTTTTAATGCATTTCATAGTGAGTTGGAGACATCCACACTTCATTATGTGTATCAACTTAAGAGTTCTATAGAACATTACTGTCAGTTCAGAAATCTTCATTCTTCTAGAAAGAGCAGCTAGTTCTGATTTTTTCACCCTAGATTACTTTTACCTGTTTCAGAACTACGAATGTCTTTTTAACTATTAATGCATCACATAGTACTTAAGCCTGCACATATCAAGTTCCTTAATTTTGTTCAAAGCCACACTGGATATTTGAGTGTGAATGTTCAAATTACTGCAAGTGTAAATTGTATTTTTATTAATCATGGGATATTAATGCTCTTTCATTTTTTGTTATGTGAAGGACCACCCATAACACAGTCAAACTTGATAAACAATCGTGACCAGTCTGGGACAAGTGCAGTGCCCAATCTTGCACCAGTGGGAGCAAGACTACCTCCTCCTTTACCCCAGAACCTCCTTTATACAGTATCAGAACGTAAGTCATTACTGTTTTACACTCAAACAGTTGTATTTTGTTTCATTGCAATGATTACAATCTCCTATATGCACCATTGATTAACAGTGTTTGCTTCTATGCCCACTTTGTTTTTGTTATGTTTTGTTTTTGGGGTACACAAAAACATGCAGGAATATATAATTATTTAAACAGTCAAGGGGCACATTTTGCAAGTCAGCTTCTTACCCGCCAGTCTTTCTCTTTCCATGAATCTAGAGTCCTCAGCTGCTTTATCTCTCTTTGCAAATACCTTTGCCTCCATCTCTGGTGTTGCTTCTTCTCTGGTTAGGATCCCATGTTCCACTTATGCTCTTCCCTCTTGATGGTCCTAAAGTCCTCTGTTCATGGAATATAAGATTAACTCCCTCCCCCCCCTTTTTTTTTTTAACCAAATCTGAAAATAATGGCCATCAGTTTTGTGTTTTTGAATTTTGCAGTATGTTGTTACTTGCCATGGAGTCAACTCAGACTCATGACGATCAAATATGTGCACTGTGTAACTATACAGAATTTTCATAAGTATTTCACTACGTTTGTCTTACAAGGCACCTCTGGTGTGTGAAACCACCAAACTTTAACTAGTCGTCTGGTGGTAGTGGTTATGTGCCATGAAGTCAGTTCTGACTCGTAGTGACCCTGTAGAGGGTTTCCAAGACTATAAATCTCTATGGGAGCAGAAAGCCTCTTCTTTCTCCTGCAGAATAGCTGGTAATTTTGAACTGTTGACTTTAAGGTTTGCAGCCCAATTTGTAACCACTGTGCTACCAGAGCTCCTTAAAAAAGATCCATATTATTTTCGTCATCCACTTGTTAGGTTCCATTGAGTTGGTATCTACCTATAGCGAACTCATGCCCAGCAAACAAAGTACTGCCCAGTCCTACACCAAACTCATAATTGTTGCAACAAACCCTTACATATAGCTAGGGAGTCCTGGTGTGCTGCTGTAGGATAAGCACTGACTGGACTGATAACTTCATGGTTGCTGCCACTGTGTCCGTCTCACTGGGCATCTTCCTCTTATTAGCTGACACTCCACTTTAACAAGCATGACATCCTTCAAGGGCTGGTCCCTCCTGATAATGTCTGATGTATGACAGACGAAATCTGGTCATCCTGGCTTCCAAGGATCATTCTGGTTGCACTTACTCCAACACAAATTTTTTTGGTGCTTTTGGCAGTCCATGGTACTTTTTTTTTCAAAGTTTTTATTGTGAATTAAGTGATAGTTTACATGGGAGAACATCAGCTTTACACTCATCCTATCGTATTTTGTTTCATTTCAATGACTGCAGTCCCCTCCATGCATCATTCAACAGCATTTGCCTCTATTCCCTTTTTTTTTTTTTTTTTTTTTAAATGTATACCGAAGCACTCAAGAATATATAATCATTCAAACAACCAAAGGGCATATTCTGCAAGCCTGCACCGCCTCCTCTGGCCACCAGCAAACAGCCCCTCTCCCTCCTTGAGTCTAGAGTCTCCAGCCACTCCATCTCTCCACATCTTTGTCTTTGCCTCCATCTCTAGCATTGCTACGTCTCTGGATAGGGTCCCACACTCCTTTCTTCTCCCTTGATGGTCCCAGGGTCCTCCATTCCTGGACTGCAAGATCAACCACTCCCTTCCTTTTGCTACAAAATGTCTACCTTTACATTTGCAACAGTCATAGTCAGTCCTGATAACAGTTACTCACCATTGAACCACAGGAGTCTTATCCCCATCTCCTTTCTCTAGCCCCATTTAGACAGGTTGAAGACCACTCAGTGGAGAATCTACCTTCCCCCACATCCTCTGAAACTAAACTCCCTCTTGAAAACTTGTAAGCCAGTCATTTCTTGCATTTAAAACCCCCCCTCCCCCTATTTTAGGTAGCCAATGTCTAGTTGCCTATCTCTGTCAACCCTATGTACAGAGGGGGTGGGAATGATTCTTACTGTGAAGATTCGTTCCTTCTTTTAAGGTACTACATCCATAAGTATAGGTCAAGTTCATCAAATTGTAGCGGATTATACTTTTTCTCCCTCTTCTTTCTTCCTTTAGTCGAGTTCTAATCATCCAGCCATTGAAGCTAGGTCAAATAGGTACTGTTTGCAAGTATGGGTGTTCTTGTACATCTCCCCTCTTGGATGGTATTTTGAGCTACTATATCCATGAACAAAGGTCAAGTTCATCAAATTGTAGCAATTTGCACTTGTGTCAAATTTCTTTATTTTCCTGCAGTCGAGTTCTGATCATCAAGATAGCCAAGTTAGGTCTACTGGGTACTATATGCAAGTTTGGACATTCTTATTTTATTTATTTATTTTTTTTAATTTAAGGTTTTTATTGTGGATTGAGTGAAAGTTTACAGGGCACATCATCAGTTTCACATTCAAA